TAAAGCTCCACTTAGGGGTGGCCCTTAAGGAGGGAGATGAGAGGAAATTCTCTCCATAGGTCGAACTTTGGGCAGCAGACTTAGTCATTCTTCTGTGTGGAAAGAGAAGTGGATCAAAGTAGGAAAAAATAAATATATATCTACATATATGCTCATCGGAAGTAATGAATAGTTTGGCTGGTTGGTCAGGGGCCTGGAAAGAAAAAGATCCAAAGACTAGGGGGAGGAAGGCTGGGGAAGGGGCATGTGGATGGACTATGGGAGTGGGCATTTATAAAGGGTTAGCATCTTTGTATTGCATGTTAATACCACCGGAGAGCAGCCACCTTGGAAAAGGCACTAGACAAGCAAACAAACAGCATGACCCAGCCAGTTGACATCAGCCAGCCTCTGTCTTCAGCCATCTCAGTGTCTGAGCTGAGCCATGGGCATGGAGGGGATGGAGGCGATCCATGTGGCATGCACTCCACATCAGCAACCACTGGGGGGCACTGTGCCACAGAAGGGAGAATCATGGGTCCAGGAAGCAAGGGGTGACAGTGAAAGTGCCCCTGCTGACCACCCCTCCCAGTGACTGGCTGGTGTAGCTGCACTCTCCAGTGTTGCTGCCACCACCATCACCACCACAGAAGACACTATGATGTGCTGGGTCCCAGAGGGGAAATGCCGTTATCAGCGTATATGATAAGGGCCCATTGTATTGCCATCTGGTCTCTTCTGGCTCCTTGTACCTTGGTACAAGGCAGGGAAAGGAGTCATATCAGCGGCAGGGAAAGGAGTCATTGACCCTCATAACAGGAGGAAGTAATGCTGTCCTTTCATAAAGGGGGCAGGAAAAATATATTTGGCATTCAGGTGCCACATAGGGGTGTCTCTTGGGACAGCCTTGCCCCAATTTGAGGTAGACAGACAAGTGCAGCAGCGACAGAGTAGAGTGTGGTGACCATAGGCTCTGTGTCCTCAGCAGTGAGGGTTCGGGTCAGCCCACCAGGAGCCTAGGCCAGCTGAGGTGTTGGCAAAGGGCGAGAGGAATCTAGAATGTTTAGTAGAGGAGGGACATAGCAAGAATGAGCTGCAGCCTCAAGATCAGATGCAGTAATGGTGGTTTGTCCCACTGCTATCCTTCTGGAAGTTTCCCCAGGTGAAGAGAGCAGCCAGAATAACGAGAAGTTGCTCCCAGAAGGGGCAGACTTATTGCATGGAGCAAGTGATCAGGGTGGTGTGGAAGGTGCATTGCACAGGAGGCCGCGCTGTGCTGCCACGTTTCCTCCGCACGACCGAGGTACCCAACCCTATCTGACATGATGTCATGGTGTTTCCCCTTCACTGTCTCTGAATCACCGATGTCAGTGATTATAGAGATGCAACAGTGGGTAGGAGAGGGCAATTTTAAAGTTGTCTAGAAGGTCCTGATCAAACAGCTGCTCCCACTGCATGGCTCTGGGGTCTATCATGCAGCAGGCAAGGCAAGGAGTGCGCACCCTGGCAGGAGTCATTGACCCTGGTAATCAAGAGGAAATTCTATTATTCACTTATCTCAGATTGCCAGGAGGTCAATTTTCTTTTGTGCTAGGGCAGTGCTTCTCCAACTTTAATGTGCAGATGGGAACTTATTAAAATATAGATTCTGATTCAGGAGGTCTGGGGTGGGGGCAGGGATTCTGCATTTCTAGCACATTCCTCGGTTTTGATGCTACTGGCCCATTGACCACATTTTGAGCAGCAAGGCACTACAGAGCAGCGCCCTAACTCGGGGTGCATCAGAAACACCTGGGCACTTATTAGAGCTACTCACCATCATAGATTCAGATTTAGTAGTATAGGGTGGGCATCTCTAATTTGAACAAATGCTCTAAATAATTAATCACCAACATTTGAGAACCACGGTTCTGTAGCAGTGACCTTCACAATTGCAACCAACACTTGTGCTCACGATTAAGCTGCACAGGCAGCACATGATTGCTGCATGAAAGAGGCACAACCGCAGCCTGAGTGTCGCTGGGGACAAAGCTGCTAAAGATGCACTTAATGTTCACCACGGGCCAGGCACAGATGACCACAGAAGGAACACCTGGGGCTTTAAATATTAGCCTGAGAGGGTTATAGTTTTGTGAAAACAAACAAAAATAGAAATAAACTTTGTGGTTACTCATAAAATGTGTTTTCGAAGTAGTTCTAACCTTTATAACAATCAAGGAGGTAAGGAGTTTCATCTCTTTCTCTCCTGAGGTGACAGAAGTTGATGGGCTACTTATGATTTGCACATGGTTGCAGCCATTTCATGGTTGTTATAATTCTAGCAAAATTTAGGTTGAGGTTGTGGACTTGGGCTGTGGGAGCTGAGGGTCCTGTTTAGAAATGCATTGTTTCATTCTCTGAGCTTCATTCCAGGGCTTGAGATGCCAGTCTAGTTGGCATTAGCATTTTGCGAAATGGCTTTCTTAGCCTCTTTAGGGTGTGAATGGGTTCTTTATTAATGTGGGGTGGAGAAAAATAGACCTACCTCCCCTGAGCGTCTCCGGGTGGCTCATCTGCTAGCCTGCTTCTCAGAAGACCCCTTCTCTCTCCCCTGCTCACTACCGGATGCCTGGCTAATGGACATCCTCAATGCCTGGCAAAGGGGAAGGTTCTGCTGCCTCAGCATGGGGTGGGCTGAGCATGAGAGTGAGTAATGGAATGTTCCAGAGAAATCCACGCTCCCTGCCAAATGTGCATGCCAACTGACACCTACAGAGAGTCTGGTTGCCTTTGCTTGTTCATCAGAAGAAAATAAGATGAACCCTGAAAGGAGATGCTGTTGGCAGGACAGCCACGATGGCAGGCGCTGTCTTCCCACAGGACCTGCCAGTGCGAGGCGCTGGGGAGGGCGCGTTGTCTGCAGACGGCTGACCTAGGACCTGCCACAGAAAGCCTCAGCTGCTCCCTGGCTTTACAGCCCCAAGCAACATTGTGAGTCAGAACAGCACAGGAGCGGAAGTCCTGCAGCGTGTGGAGACCACAGGGAGAATGGGAGGAACAGGGTGGACTGATAGAGCTGGGATTTGGTCAGGACAACAGTGCTGGCCCCATTCTTGAGCGAGGGAAGTGGCCCAGCTGCCTGTGGATGAACCTCGTGGGCGGGACCTGGAAGCAGAACCAAAGGCCTGGCTTTTGCCTTGTGGCTCTCCATTGTGAAATGAAGCGATGAGATTTCTGGACGTTTCTCTTTCTCTCCTCCCGTTTTTTCTTTTCAAGGCATTTTTCCTCCTGGCACTCCCTGGCATTTCCCCCAAATTATTACTTCTTACCCTTCAGCTGGGCCCGGACACCTTCCTTGCGGGTTTTTGTCTTTATGGTCTCTTCTCTTGCTGTCGATGGTTTGTTTTGAGCAATTACCTAATCAATTAAATAACCATTGACTGCAGACCTAATTTTTGCCACATACCACATGATGAATGAGACAACCCGATAACCAAATGGAGTTGGTGGAATGCATGAACGAATGTGGTGCCGATGGCTAGGCCCCCTTTGAGGGCTGCCTTGTGGGAGGCCTGAGCACTTTCTGATTTCATTTAATCCTTAATCAAAGTAGGAGTATGCACTTTTATTCTGCCCATTTTGCAGATGAGAAAAATGAGACACGGAGTGGGTAGGTGAGGCTCTGTGGGAGCCTCCTTTGGTGGAAATCGTGGCATTCCGTGTTTTTTCTTGTCCTTGGGCTGTCAAGTTGCAGCTCAGCTCTCAAAGTTCTTTTCTGGGAGTGGGATAAGTAGAGTTCGCAACTGGATCTTTTTGTTTTGTTTCAGGAGATAACCATTCAGAAAAATCCCAGGAAACTTTGTCGATTGCAAAACTGTTATATCTGTTATCTCATTTGTCTGTTCAGAGTGATTAGAAAAAACCTTTTTAAAATAATAAGGGTTGATGTGAGTTTTGGGGGGAGTGGCGGACAGGAAAGAAGATACTAAGAGAGAAACCAGGGATCTTGGGTTCTTTTAAGTCTCAGGGGGATAGGGAGGACCCCCAGGAGACCAGTAAATGAGGACAGTTTTACGGAGGCCAGGAGAGTGGATTCCATTTCTGACACCCTTGAGAAGAAAATGGGGCGGGCATGGAAAGCTCAGTGCCCAGACAACTGGCAGGAAGTCCTCCAAAATGCTGCAACGGTTAATTAGATATTGGGGTACCTTTCAAGGGTTTGGGGTTTAATAGGCGAGATAATATTTAAACGTATACAGCTATACTACAAAGCATAATGCAGAAAAGACAGGAATGCAGCCAGGACTGGCATTTATGAGATAAGCAAAGCAGCAGGGAAGAAAATTCTGTCGCAGGATTTCTGCTGCAGGCAAAGAGAAAGAAATCTGAAATACATGGATTCGATCCAGCCTTTCCTTGGTGTGGGAGAAGTCTGTGTTGGGATACAATGAGGCCGCTGTGTGACCGTGGGCATGTCTCTCTACAGCGGGCGTCCTCAAACGACGGCCCGCGGGCCACATGCGGGTGTTTTTGCCCGTTTGTTTTTTTACTTCAAAATAAGATATGTGCAGTGTGCATAGGAATCTGTTCATAGTTTTTTTAAAACTATAGTCTGGCCCTCCAACGGTCTGAGGGGCTGTGAACTGGCCCCCTGTTTAAAAAGTTTGAGGACCCCTGCTCTACATTCTGAGCCTCAGCTGAACTATTAGCCTCCAAGTGGAAGAGGAGAAATGACACAGTAAGAAAGGAGAAAGACATGTGCTACAAGGGTTAATCCGGGCTTTTCCCTGGGAGAGTCCCTGGTCCACAGTCTGACATGGGGCATCTGCACCAATTGTATAGGTGCCATTTGCCCCTTCCCTGTAGAGATTGGATTCCTTCAGGCATGGAGGAGCTTAGAAATAACATCACTGTGGGTTTTCGAGAAACATGGTACTGGAGGCAGTGTTCAGAGGCAGCAGGTGGTGCTCTTTCTCCTGAAACAGACGGGAGTCTGGCGCTTGGCTTGGCGTGCAAGGGATGCGAGCAGATAAGATCTCTGCAGGCTGAAGGCACCCGAGGGGACCAGGGCAGAAATGGCTGGTCAGGACTGCCCACCACACCCGGGCTGGGTTTGGGCTGCAGCGCTGACCAAAGTGAATGCACACAGTCCCCTTTCCATGACCTTGGCATAGTTACTGCATTTGCAAAGGCAGTGTCACAAACGCTGACTGTACCCGTCTCGGCTTTGGACTGTGACAGGGAAGAGTCACTGCATCTCTGTATATGATAAGCAGACGTACCACTTATTGCACGGCAGGCGAGAGGGCCAGGGTCTCCCGGGTGAGAGGCCGCCTTGGGGTCATGTGAAGAAGGCAGGATCTGGGAGAACCTCTTACATGGAGGAAACGGGCTTTACCTGGGAGGTGCTGCGACTTCTTGGATATTAAAGAAAAGCAAAACAAAGCAAGCAAAACAAAACAATTTCAGAATGAAGTGAAAAGATCACTGGATTGAAATTTATGAATCTGGTAAGGCCACTAATTAATTAGCTGTGTGACTTAGAGAGTTCATTTATCTCTGGTCCTCAGCCTCACCTTATCATTCATTATTAATTGCTAACATCTCTTCCAGCACCACATTAACTAGCATGTACATCTCTGTGTGTGTGTGTGAGAGAGAGAGAGAGAGAGAGAGAGAGAGCGCGTGAGGAGAGACAGAAAAGAGAGAGGCCGGCTATCAAACAGAATAGCTTTTTGGGGGGAAATTTGCAATAAGGCAGGATAGAAACATGCATTCTTGGGGACTGAGGAAACCTCTTCACTTTGATTTCCATTTCAGTCATTGAGGCACAGCATGACCACGTCCAGTGAAAAAAGCTGTGTCACCTTCGTCCTTCTGGGAACTGAGACAGTTCCCTCAGAAGCGTCATAACCAATAAACACGTCCCAAAGATCTCCATTTAGCTGTGAGAACAGCTGTGTGCCTTCCAGCAGGGCAGCTTTAGCAAGCCACGTTCCAGTGGAGAGAGAGGCGGCTGTTCCTTCGCTGCTGGGGCACTGGGGACATTTGCTAGAGGTGAGGGGGGAGGGCCCCTGGTGGGGGTGGGGGCGGGAGGAAGTCAGGGGAAGTGCAATGGTACTCCTCCTCAAGGGGCTTGGCCATTCATGAGCTGTCCTCAGCCATCAAACCCCTTAATTGGGCACCTCCTGCATGTGGGCCGGGCGCTGGGCATGCCGCCGGAAGCCCCACAGTCTTGGCTCTGGAGGAGCTGACTGTGTCTTCAAGAGAAACAGAGTCTGTGTTTTCCCTTTGGCCCAAACAAGTACATTTAGGCCCCGCGGGGCCCGCAGAGGTGGCCTGCTCAAAGGTCCCTCCCTCCACTCCTCCCGCCTCCTGCGTGAGCGTGGGCTGGACACAGTCAGTAGTGAAAGGATGCTTTTCAGATGGAGGGGTGCAGCTTTGCATTTGCTTTGTCCCAGGATCCAGACGGTCGCCAGGCCACTCTGCTGAGGACTCTGCTTGGCAGGAACGTGCTCTGATTCCTTAGCTGCAGGCTCTGAAGGCCAGACGTGGCCAAGAGCTCACAGGCAGCTGAAGTGAGGCAGCTCTTCTGCACACTCGTCAGCACCGGGCTCTGAGCCGCAGCGGAGACAGCTGCAGCGCCTGGGGCGGGATGCTGCAGTGTCCTTGGGCAGAGCCGCGGCTGCTGCAAGACACGCTGAGCACCGCGGGCTGCAGGGCGAGCTGCTGACTCATCGCTGCAGCCCTGCTACCTTCAGCAACTGGGACAGCATGGGCTTCTGTCTTATTGGAAAGGGATGTGTGCCCGGAGCAGGGCGATGGGGAGATGCTCCAAGGCATGAGTCTGAATAGCAGCTGTAACTCAGCATTTTCATCGGAATTTGTGGGCAGAATGTTTTTATCAACCCCAGAATGGCTTATTGGGGAAGCCATTCTAGCCGTCAGTCGGCATGTATTAAACGCCAATTGTGTGCTAGCGGTTATCGGTTATCGTATGCTTAGACCATAAGGGGGAACAAGAAGTAAAAGACGGCTCTTGGCCCACTTGGGGATTGCTGTGCTGCTGACACTTGGAGAGCCTTGCTGTGTGCCAGGCACAGTGTGCTAGTTTACGTAATCTCGCAAAAACGCTACAAATATTAAAGCTATTTTAATTTATTCTACTGTAAGTTGGGGAGTCAGGATTTGAACCCACGTCAGTTCAGAGCCAGAGCTCTTTACCGTCATGCTATTCTGCTGTTTGGGAAGCAGAACCAACAGAAGTACACACAACAACTGGAGAACACCACAGGGTGACGCGTGGTCAAGTGCAAAATCACGTTTACAGTGCAGGCATCTATGACGAGCCTAGAATAAATCCCCGTCAACCTGCAGTCCCGGGTCAGGTGAGCTGTGTAGGTATGTTTATGTTTAGGCAAATGATGAGGCTGTAGAGGGATTTTTTGGGAAGGCCAAGGGCCGATATGGCACACATCAGGAAGTGGGAGCCGTGGGCGCTGCCGTGGGCGCAGCCTTGGGTGACCCGGTCTGCATCTCAGGCCACCATGTGCCTAGGATGGCTCTGGCTGTTGGGAGGAAATAGTGAAAGATCGCTAAACGTATTTTTGCCCTTTAAAAATTTAATCTGGTTGGATTTACATCACCAATTAATCAAGTTAGGAGCAAAATAGGAGGAGAAAGAGAAAGGACTTACGCGGGGATAGGGAGGGTCTGTGGCTTCTGGTTCAGTCCGTAGTGGGCCAACATTTGTGTTAACAAGGACTCCATAGGCCTTCTTACCAGATGATATTAACTAAGACTCAGAAGATTTTTTACTTTCATTTAGAGGTGGTGGCAATTCATCTGTGGTATGATCAGAACTTCCTGAGCCACTCTGGATTGAAGGACGGTAGAAAGTCCTGGGCAGGCGTCACAGCAACTACTCTGGTGCAGCTGATGAAACGCCCTTGCCTCTTGGCTGATGGAGCAGATGCTTCCAGGGACAACCGTGTGTCGGCTCTGTGACCCACTGCACGGTGTGTCACACAGAGGAGGTCCCTGGGCTATGGGAGAGAGACGTTCCTGAGAATGTCGTTAGGTTGAATTTGTAACTCAGATCCCTGATGAACAGCACATGTATGCTAATAATAGTAATAATAACAGTGCTACAATGGCTCATCTGTGGGAATAATAAGACAGTGTAATACTGTAATAATAATAATAATACCCCTGTAATAATAAGTTACAGAAACCATGTGCTCTTTCTTTTAATTCAAACAAGCAGAACATAAAAACAAACTCATACAAAAAGTTTAGATAGGAGAAGTTTCAAAAAAGAATTTTTTTTTTATTTTTTTATTTTTTATTTTTTTATTTTGCCATATTATGGGGGTACAGATTTTAAGGTTTCAATAAATGCCCATTTCCCCCCCTCCCCCCAAAAGTCTGAGTCTCCAGCATGACCATCCCCCAGATGGTGCACATCTCACTCATTATGTATGTATATACCCGCCCCCCTCCCCCCTCCCACCTGCCCAATACCCTATTACTGTAGTACCTATGTGTCCACTTAGGTGCTACTCAGTTAATACCAGTTTGCTGGAGAATATATCTGGTGCTTGTTTTTCCATTCTTGGGATACTTCACTTAGTAGTATGGATTCCAGCTCTAACCAGGAAAATATAAGATGTGCTATACCACCATTGTTTCTTAGAGCTGAATAATACTCCATGGTATACATATACCACATTTTATTAATCCATTCCTGGATGGATGGGCACTTGGGCTGTTTCCACAGCCTTGCAATCAAAAAAGAATTTTAAATAACACTCACCTGATGCGTCAACTCCAGGCTGATAGGAATGTTACACTTGTTTTGATCTTCTAACCAAATCAGTAATAACCTTTGCATTTCAGTAGTTAATCCACTATGCTGCTTAGTACTAATTGATGCTTTCGTTGGAGGACTGCCTTTCCCATGTTCCATGATTCCAACTGTATCCTTTATAATTGTTGAGTGACTGGAGCCTGATGCTTTCCCAGTGAGTGACGGTGTACGGCCTTTCTCCCAATGCTTACTTATTTCTACTTTCATTTCCACTGTGATCACCTTTCTCTTCCCTGCAGGCTCACCTGACCTTGCAGTGGACTTTCCTGTTGGACGCATGGTCTTAAAGGGTAAACACAGACTCACAAAATCGAAAAAAAAAAAAAATGTGCAGACAAAAGCCATGCGGAGCCTAAGTAACCGTATAAACAAGGAGACCAGCGCTGGCATGAAGATGCCACCAAGGAGCTGCTTATGCCACGTGGGTTTGTTTACAGGCACAGAAGAAACTAGTTCTTGAATTATAAATTTAATTATTTAATTACAAATTACTCTCATGGGTAGCCTTGGGAGCCCGTTGGTAAGTACGGACCATGGTGAGCCGGGTCGTCTGTAAGCTGGGGACAGCCTGAGCTTTTTGGGCACCCATTTGGACCTGTGTATTTAGATTACAGTATCTCCTTTTCTCTCTTCTCTAGTATTTGGCTATGTAATGATTCATACAATCTCTCTGATTCTCCTTCTGTTTTATCCATAGTTACTCATTTTTTTGGACCCATATCAGAGACTTCATAAACTTTACCTAGCTGGCTGAGTTTATTTATTTATTTATTTATTTTTTAAATTTCGGCATATTATGGGGGTACAGATTTTAAGGTTTCAATAAATGCCCTTTCCCCCCTCCCCCCACAAGTCTGAGTCTCCAGCATGACCATCCCCCAGATGGTGCACATCTCACTCATTATGTATGTATATCCCGCCCCCCTCCCCCCTGCCCAATACCCTATTACTGTAGTACCTATGTGACCACTTAGGTGCTGGCTGAGTTTTAATGGAGGTTTTAGAAGCTTAAAAATTGTGAGAATAATGAAGAAGAGATGACCAAGACCAGGTAAAGAGAGGCCTTCTGGGATAAAACCCTTTGGCAGAATGCCAGAAAAGCCACCACCGAGTTCAGGAGGACGTTCAGGGCAGAATCTGAGACACAGACCCGATCAGGGTTCCGGTAACCGTGGAGGAAGCAGCTTCAATGACGGCCAAACAGCAAGCAACAGACTGCCTCCTCCCTGAAAGAGATAGCTTCGGAGTGTTCGATGGGAGTAGAATAATTGAAGGGGTGGGTGGTTATGGACGAGGGAGAGTGGATGGAGGGAACATTCGAGTCGAGGTAGGGATAACCAGAGAAAACTGATAACCACATCGCTCAGCCCCAAGCTAAAGGGGAATACTCAGGCTTTACTTGTAATTATCAAGTTATAGTTCTTATAAGCAAAGATCTCTATTCAAAGAAATAAGGTTGTTTTTGAACTCTAAATACCTGGCTGTGCCTGTTCGGTACTGAAAGAGACACTGTGAAGCAAGCGAGTGCAGGAGAATAAAGGGGTGAAGCTAAGGACCTGCTGTGTCCTCGTGAAACCGCCGCCTCTTGCGGGGTGGCGATGGCGAATTCTCTCCATGCGGCTAGAGTCGCCGAGCAGCTTTCTCTCTGGGCCTCTCCTAGGCCTACTTCCTGGTGGAACGGGTGACACAGTGAGGTCCATGTTCCCAGATAGCTAAGAATGGGCTCTGGGATCGGGCTTGGAAATAGCGATACTTACAACCTTGCTAATGTCTCCAGAGCGAGGCTGTGTCTCCTTCGTCTCTTCATCCTCGGCACCTAAAAGAATGTCTGACACATCACAGTAAGTCGATAATACATGATTGTTGAGCCAAATGTATGAGGTCTAAGAATATGGTGGCCTGTCTCCATTGCCTCAGAATTATTTCTCAGATAATAGAATACTGGTAGATTCCTGGTGGTTCACAAGCAACCTGGGAAATAGAGCCGAACAATATGGAGGATGATGAGCTATCCCAGAAACAGAAGAAAAAGTCCCCATGAGAGAACCTATTGAGGTTTTGGTTTCTCCCAGGAATGCATGGTACCAAGAGGCACGTGGTTGGAACAATGTTTGCAGGAAACGTTTTCCCAAGATATGAGGTGTTTGTATGGAGCCCAGGTGAAGGGTGGAGAGGAGACGCTGTGGGGTAGGAGGACCCCATTTTCCTGTAGGAAAGGCAGCGCTGGACATAGTGTAGGAGAAGGGGAGGGAGAAGGCAGGACGGGGAGGCAGCAGGACCAGCCAGAACCAGCTACAGTAACCCGCGTGAGACATGATCTGAACCTGAGCTAGGGTAGTGTCAGCGAGTGGGGAGACGAGCCGTACAGGGAAATAAGAGCGGTCACACTTGACTGAGCTCATACATTGGCTGGGGTTGGCAGTGAAGGGGCAGGGGGACTCCAGGAAGGTGGACATTCAGGGTTTGAGGTCTTGCTGCAAGTGACAACATTCTTTGAAGTGTTTTCATCTCAAAAATTCATGCAAATTTGTATCTTTCGCATAAAACTATACCAGTGTTTGCATTCCTATGAAAATAATATGTAAAACCAGTTTTAAAAAGACTTAACCTTCCTTTCCAAAGCTTCAGAGAAAGCCGGCACGTGAGAAAACTGCACCGAGGTTGTGGTGGCTTCCGATGCCCCCAGCAAGTCCCCCTTTGGAGGAGCGTGGTGTCCGTCGGGTCCTGGATGCATCCTCCCTTTTAACCTTCACCTTGGCCAAAACGGTCAATTTGCTGTTTCCCCCAACCTCATCATGAAATCTGCACTTCTCTGATTTTGCACATTTCGGATTTTCTTGCCCTTCTCTCTGCCATCTTCAAGCTCCCAGTGAAAGACTCTCTCCTCCGTCTGGCCTTCCAGGACTGCGTCTGACCTCCTTCTAGTCCTTCCTCTGGCATTGTGCAGGCTTGTCTGCTGCACTGCTCTGAGAATTTAATGATAGAAAAAAAACATAAATGAAAAGTGCTGGAAAAAAACCCCAAGAAAACCCTTGTGTGGCTATTATTATTATAGTGCTTCGAGGCTGTGTGTTTTGTTTCTTTCCAAGCAGATTATAAGTTCTATGAAGTCAGGCACTATGTCATTGAGGTTTTTTTTTTTTTTTTTTTTTGTCACAGCACTCAGCTCAATATATACTTTTTGAATAGATGCAGTCATTCTATATATAGCAAACAAACTTTTATTCTACTAGAAGGAGCAGACGATAACTTCACCCCACCTCCCCCCATGAATATATCTGGGGCTTTAAATCAAATGTCTAGTCCCATTAAATAAAATCTTTTATTTCCTTCTTAAAGCAGATTTAAATATCAGAAAGCCGGGATCTTTCCTCCCTTTATGTCCTTTCTTTTGACGGGACGAGTATAAGGTAGGGCCAAAGTCACCTCAGGCGGCCGAGATTCTGATGTTATACAAGTGCAAGCACTTTTTCAGCCAAGCCTGCTTGAGCCCACTTCATAGCTTTTTAGTCACATGTTTCACTGCTTGAAGAATCGAAAGCTGGAAAAGCTAAGAGAAGTGTGTGGGGAAATAGCTTTCTAGAAACATCCATGCAGAACCGAGGGCCTTTCCCTGAAGCCCTCTTCTCCCCACTCTGGGTTGGGTGGCCCCACTGTGTCACACTTGATTGTTAGTGCCTGTTGTCCAGGCTCTGCTGTTGGAATGTGTATATCTTACGAGGAGAAACCTCATCAAAGAGTGCACTGGACCCATTTGTTGAGAGAACATAGACAGAGAAGACTGAAAAATGTACCAGAAAGAGAAGGCGACAAGGGTTATGTGATACTTCTTTGGTCCACTGAAGGTCTGAATCTGATAATCATGGAACGAGAAAATGGAGACAGAGAAAATGCATGGAATTTCTGGTGGGGTTGTTGATACAAATAGAAAGGCTGAATGAGGGAAGTCAAATTAAAAAGCAGAAAAGTCTGGAATAAATGGAAAAAGCCGTTCTTTGGGGGAACCAAAACGTAGTCTATCAGTTAAGTGACTTTAGATTCGGAGAACCAAATGGAAGCTTTAGCTTCCATTTCCTCTCCTTTTCCAGCATCCCAGAACTCTGCAAGTTCCACCCAGCAGGGCACTAGTTATCTATCGGGTCTCTAAAACTGTGAATTTAACCTCCTCAGTGTGCTTTGAACTGGTGGTCTCTTCTCCATTCTTGTTATTAGTTTCCTTATGGCTGCTGTAACAATTTGCCACAAACTTTGTGGCTTAAAACAACACAAATGTATTATCCTACAGTTCTGTAGGTTAGAAGTCTGATATGGATCTCACTGGGCTAAAGTCAAGGACTTGGTGGGGCTGCATTTCTTTTTGGAGGCTCTAAGAAAGAATCTGTTTCTTTGCCTTTTCTGGCTTCTAAAGGCCACCCGCAGTCCTTGGCTTGTGGCCCCTTCCATCTCTAAATCCAGCAATGTCATGGCTCTCTGAGCTGGCTTTTATTGTCACATTTCTTTCTCTAACCCTTTTATTCTGCCTCTCTTTTCCACTTTTAAGACCCTCGTGATTACATTGGACCCACCCAGATAGTCCAAAATAATCTCCCTATTTTAAGATGAGTTAAAAGTTTCCATCTGCAACCTTAACCCCCCTTTGCCATGTAACCTAACACGTCACGGGTTCTAGGAATTAGAAAGTGGGCCTCTTTGGCAGGGAGGCTTTCTTCTGCCTACCACAATCCTTGGTATCACTCCCCGACGCTAAGGCTCCATTATCCTTACCTGGATTACTGCAGGAGCCTGGCCTCTGGAGTGAGGCTGCCTGCATTTGTATCCTGGCTCTGCCGTTTCCTGGCCGTGGGATGATGTCATAAATGCTCTCAAGCCTCCCTCAGCCTCAGTCTCCTGCAAAAGGAGGACACCAATAGTAGCTATGTCACAGGATTGTTGGGAGGAATAAACTCAAACCTGGCACGTGGTGAGCACTCAGTGAGTGTCAGTGGTTGTTATTACTGTTAGTACCGTGTTTCCCCCAAAATAAGACCTACCCATAAAATAAGCCATAGCAGGATTTCTAAGCATTTGCGCAATAGAAGCCCCACCCCGAAAATAAGACCTAGTGACGGGCGTGGCTACGCAGCGTATCTGCACAACCCATGCATTTCGTCCCGGAGCGGCAAAGAAGAGGAGCAGCCCTTCTCATCTGCCCCATCGTGACAGCTACTATCCCAGAGGTGACTGGAAAGGTACGGGCAGCCCCACCAACAAGGTTGGCTCCCCTGTCAAGTCCTGGCCATCCTGTGCGTGCTGCGAGCTGAGGCTTTGAGGGGAAAATAACACATCCC